CATACCTATTTATATATATATATATATATATATATATATATAGCCATACAGTCACGAGTGACTAATGGCATTTTAATGGTTTTACTTTTTTTTTTTTTTTTTTATAAATATTGATTTTTTTATAAAAGGTAGTAGAACAATTATGTTATCTTAATTTCAAAATTTGACTTAAAAGTTTCAACAATTTAATGAAATAATATGACTTCGCATCTCTAGGTCTAGTAAAGATTAACATATTTTTGCATAAGCTTCCTACCAGTTTTAAAACTAAACTGAATGATTAAATATCTTACTATAGAATGAACTCATTTGAACTACTTTGCTTTCGGATTTTTAAAGACGAGCTAAATGTTCCTGTTCACAGTCCCTAACTTGCCGATGTGGTTTTTATGACTTAATTACAGCCACATTATCCTTCTTTTCACATTAACATGTTGGAGAAAGTTAAAGTATAGCCTTATGATTTGATTAATCACAGTCAGCTCTAGTTTATGATAATGTGCACAGGTATTAAAATACTTATATTAACAAAATACGTTTACATTTACAATTTTAAACACTTTGAACATTCTTGTGCCAAGCTGTGCATATTTGTGTTGACCTCTGAATGCCGACAGGTAAATGTTATATAAAATGAGCGGTGTTATACAGTGAATAAATTCATAAATGCGTCTGAACATGCGGTCAACAGCGCCCTCTGGAGGACACAACGGGTAAACCTTACAACACACACCAATGTCAAATCATGACACACACATTTTGTCCAACAGAGGCTTAACTAAGTTACTCTAATGTTTAAACAAAATGCAATAATCAAAATGTAAAATCTACCATTCTGAAAAAAATAGGGCATCTTACCAAAGCACACCTGAAAAAAACACTTGAGAAGAAACCTAAGAAACAAATTAAAAAGTATGGTTTTGAACAAGTACATAGTACGTTTTCGGTTTAAAGTATGCGAGATACATGTACTGGGAGTGAGAGAACTAGAGATCTAAATAAACGAATATTTCTGAAATTCTAACTAGCTCGCTAGCGTTTTTCTAGTTAATCAGTAGCTCTCGGCGTATTTTGTTCAAACATTTCGATTATACGTTGTATTTTGACTTACCTGTATGTAAAGCAAATCTTAACGCCGTTTTCGTTCACTTTATTTACTTTACCTTTGTAAAAAGTTCTTATATAATTCATTTGCAGTGAAAGCTCAGTTCCTGTCAGACAAAAGCGCGCGATAATTTTGTTCCCGCGCTGTTTGAATCAGACGTTAGCGACGAAATTTACATACGGTTACTTAATTAACCCTCTGGTGTTGTTAGGTCATTTTAAACCGGGAAATTTTTTTTTTTGACATTTTAAAAAAATCGCTGCTTTATCGGAATGCTACGAAACTCGATGACTTTTATGGCAGTTGCTATATGTGACCACAAAAAAAAAACAAAAAAAAACAGCTAAATAGTCCTTAAGAAATAGCCACACTTGTGTTGTTCGCGGTCAAACATGAGCGCTATTGGAAATGAATGGTAAATACACAAAAATACACAGCGATTTATCTGTACAATCTACAAATCATTCAAGATTCAGAAAAAGTGCACAGCAGTGAAGCAGGGTTGCCAGGTTTTCACAACAAAACCAGCCCAATTGCTACTCAAAACTAGCCCAAAAGATCAAGAATACAAAACAGACACACAACAGAACTGGTGTGGCTGTGATAATATGGCAAAATTGAGCCAGAAGACTCAAATAAGAGGTTGAAATCAGCAAAAATCTAAACCTTCTCAAAAAGTTGTCTTTGAGAATGTCTAAATATAAATCCAAATCCACAACAACAAAAGGATTTAGGTCTAAAAACAACTAGAGAATTTATAAGGCTTTATAGAGCTATACAGGAATCTAGTGGCTAAACCACGGAATTTCAGATGTTTTTCTTTTTTTACTCCCACTAATCTGCCTTCAAAAATCGGATTTTAAAGGCATTGTCTTTATTTTAACATGAAATACTGCCATAGTTGAAAAGTAACAAAAATAAATTTTTAAATGAGAAAAAAATTATAATTATTGCATAAATATTAATTAGTATCATGAAAGTCTCATATATAAAGAAAAAAATATATATATAAAAATAATTGAACAAAAATATATTACATTGATTTTACTGAAAAAAATTAATAAAAATAAATATATATATATATATATAATTTTCAGTAAAATCAATGTAATATATTTTTGTTCAATTATATATATATATATATAAAATTTTTAACAAAAATATTACATTGATTTTACTGAAAAAAAAAAAAAAAAAAAAAGTTAAATTT